TTAAAACAAATTTGACCCCCCCCTCCCCCCCCCCCCGTTTCCCTCTCTCTCTCTCTTTCTGCCTCTCTGTGCTGTGGGTGAGTGGCAAAGGCTTTGGCATTGTCGAATTCAATGCTGGGAGGTTGTAAGCGTGCAGGTTATTTCTAGCCTCTGTTGCGTGTTGGGACAGCGGCCCTTCTCTCAACAGGAATGCAGCTGCTCTTCCTACTAGAGCAGCCCCTTAAAGGCACAGCCCTGAGTTGGTGAAATCTGAGACTCCGATTTTCTTCTTTTTCAGGTTATACACATGTCTTTGTGTGCATATACATATATAAGCACACTGTACACTAAAAAACATAGGTGGTTGGATCCTCAGTAGCTGCTCCCTCCCCCCCACATGAATGCATAATATAAACCCTTTAAGGGCCAGTGTTTTGTAGTGAGCAAATAACTAAAAAACAGGAGGAGGGACATGTTTTCCTGCTTGTCTTAAAAATTATGCAGGGTTGGATTTAAAAATTAGATGTACGAAATTGTTCACAAATTGCTGTTGCTAAATTAATTACAGCACAGTAGTACTCTTCATATGACTCTTGAGGGGCAGCACACTGTTGTTTCTATTGAGAGAAGTCAGAAGAATAGCAGAAGAAATGTGCCTTCCTGTATTGTTTGTCCTCTTCTGTTGACTGCTGCCATATCGTTTTATCCACCTGCCTCTCCAGATGCTGACTTGAAGGCGCAGGAAGTTTCTGTTTTAGAAGTGTAGGTTCCCAACCTCACAAATGTTGGCCTTGGGGCAGAACAAGGTTGTGTTTAGCTTAAACTGTCACTCAAATCTGGAAAAACTGATATTGTGGAGAAGGCTAGATAGAGCAGGCTGGCCTTTAATTTCTTTCATTGGGGTGTGGAGGAGCTGACATTTCTCTTCCACATTATGTAGGGGGATGTGGAGGAAGAATTCAAAGGCCAGAGTTGCTAGATCATGGCCTGGCTGTTTGGAATTTTATTTTGGCTCTTGCCCAGGTGCTTCTAGTTAATGTGTTCTGGCAGTTAATGACTATGTGGGGGATGGTTTGCTGTAAAGTGCAGGTCATTTGTCATGCTTGCTTTTAAGTGGTGCTGTGTTGATGGCTAGGGGAGGTGTTTTATACCAGGTTGACTCCAGATAAACAACATCTATGTCTGTTCTTGCTTTATTTTCTTGGGTTTGTACAACTTAAAACTAGATACTCTTTATTATAGACGCTGATTACATGGGAGGGGGATGTATGTTTTAAATTAAAAGGTATTTCTGTGATCCTGAACACATTTACTTGGAAGTAAGCCCTGCTGAACTCTGTGAGATTTGGCGCTAAATTGACTGGATCAGGCTACATCTTTGTCAAGTGTTTAGTCTGAATTTGAAAAGACCATTTTTCTCTTTTTTTCTACTCACTGCTTTTATAGAGTGTTGCTCTTGTGATCCCTCTGCTCCAATATCTATGGGGAGATTGAGGTATAGAGAATGAAGCACTTGATACTTAATTTAGTATAGAGTGGCTACAGGACAGCAGTCAGTGGGCTTTGGTTCAGCACTTTATATTTTGTCCTACTAATTAAAGACATAAATTCATTTATGTGAAAGAAAGTAAAAAGATGACCTTGGAAACAAACAGCCATTCCAATGGTTCCTGAACAGGCTTGCTACCCCTGGCAATTCCAGCTGTGAACAATCAAGCTGGCTCCAGTCTGTACAGCTGAAAGCTAGAGGCTGCTTATTGGTCACACAAGAATGTGACAGAATCTTAGGCATTGTTGTGTGTCTCTTTATGTATATGCATATCTGTTGATTTAGATCAGGGGAAGGAATCATGGAGTTTTGGAGGGGCATATGCAATCCCAAGCCTGTTGTGAGCCACAGCTCCCCTACATTCTAAAATGTTGATGATGATGACTGACAAAAAGAACAAGTTACCATATCTGGAAGCCAAAACTGTGTTTTTTTGTAGACCCTGATTAAAACCACAAAATGGTTATTAGCTGGAACATGTTGGTCTGTTTTATTGAATAATAATATTTTACATATTGATACTCTACACATTACACTCCTGGAGGTTTCCAGCAAGACAGTTTATCTTTTAAATATGATGCTGCCTTGCATACTTTTTTTTAGTGCTTAGAAATAATTACTGCAAAATTTGACATAGACTTCCAGCTACTTCTGATGTTGTTTTTTTAAAAGCATGGTGAAGTGCTTGCTAGACTGATGAAGGAGACTAGCCCCATGTTAGCCATCCTTTATCCACATTGTATACAGTATTTCTCTGTCTGGTAGTGAACTCAAGTTGTGCTAACAATAATAGAGTCAAACTGAGGCTGCTACAAAAGAAGAACTTGGGTTAAACACTCCATTTTAAAAAAATGGTAAAGTGGGAAGCTGGTTCTGAACAGCATGCCGGTGGAGTATGCTCAGTATCAGTGGAATATCCGAGGAAAGGAAAAATTGGGAATGGCATTGGCTGAGCAGAATGGAGTATTCTGGGAACACAAACAGGAGCAGATTTATAAGATTCTGAAAAATATATTGCAACATTTTCTTGCAGGTTGTATATGCATATAAGATATATAAAATTTAGTTATGTTGAGTCTATACTGTGTATTCTCAGTATTCCCCATGGTGTTAGGCAGAGATGCTTACCGTCTTACTTGAGTAGAGACCAAGTAAAATCTCTGTACTAGATAGGATCTGAGACCTTTCTTAGCCAACACGTGCTGTCATTCTAAGTTCAGTATGGTTCTTTCCCTACCAAGTGAAGTTATTTCTGCACATGTGTGACGTGAGTCTTCCTTACTAATTCATGTTGCCTAATATTACTCCATGGACATTTCTTAATGACCTATGGCAGAACTTGTGCTAAAAATGTTTAGAAACTTATTGGGTTTTTTGACATGTTTTCTGGATCATAAAAGGGAAAGAGCCCTCTATGTTCACTTGCCAATGTAAATATTATCCTTAGCATGTACTGAGAAAGGCAACAAAAAGGAATAAAACAGAAGAAAGTTGTGTGTTGATTCTGAATTGCAGAATGCCTGTTCTTTTTTCCTGTGAACTAAAATATTCAGAAAATTAAAGCATCCCTTCTGTTGATTGGACTCATATATTTTCCCCTTCAGTGAAGAAAATATTTATAACATGGAAATGATGATGGTGATGATAGCTAGATTTTGTTGTTTGTCTTTGCTAATGACTGCATAACCTAAGAAAAGTCTTATAGTTCTTTGAGCCTCTGATTTCTCATTTGTTGTTCTCTGAATAATTATTGTTTATGCTGGTTTAGAAGTTGGGTTTATTTGATCTATTACAGACAAATGTGATGGCCTGGCCTGAATATTTTGAAATGTATTTGGTATTTGCACCTTATCTTGGATTGCTATAAGTAATGGAAAATTCTCTTTCTCTGGGAAGGAGAGGACATAGTTTATTAGTACTATATAAAGGGGCACTTCACAGAAGGGAACCCTTCTAATCTTTAAAGCACTTTGTATACTCTAAAAGGATACTATCAGGTCAATTTGAGTTCATAGTTACATCTTTAGAAAGATGAAGTGCTAGTAATCTCAAGTTAAGATTCCCCCCCTCATTATTCCTCTTTATTTTTCAG